CAGGAGGCAGAGGTTGCAGTGAGCCTAAATCTTACCACTGCACTCCAGTCCAGGCGACAGAGCAAGACCCTGTCTCAAAAAAAAAAAAAAAAAAAAAGAAAAGAAAAGAAAAAGAAAAAAGAAAGAAAGAAAAGAAAAAGAAAGAAATACAGAAAAAAAACAAAAAAGAAATGGAGGCCTGGCACAGTGGCTCATGCCTGTAATCCCATCACTTTGGGAGGCCAAGGCAGGCAGATCACTTGAGGACAGGAGTTCAAGACCAGCCTGGCCAACGTGGTGAAACCCCATCTCTACTAAAAAAATACCAAAATTAACAGGATGTGGTGGTGCATGCCTGTAATCCCAGCTACTCGGGAGGCTGAGGCAGGAGAATCACTTGAACCCAGGAGGCAGAGGCTGCATGAGCCAAGATGGTGCCACTGCACTCCAGCCTGGGCGACAAAAACAAAACTTCATCTCAAAAAAAAAAAAAAGCAATGGAGAGCCATAGGATGTTTTACAGGGAAGGGCAGAATTTGAGCCACTTAAAAAAAATTAACAAACTTTTTCCTTTTCGGTGTTCAAGATTATAGACTTTTTAATTGAATTTATCTGTGTGGTTTTTTTTTAAATTTTTTTTTGAGACAGAGTCTCACTCTGTTGCTGAGGCTGAAGTACAGTGGCGCAATCAAGGCTCACTGCAATCTGGAACTCCTGGGCTCAAGGATCCTCCCACGTTAGCCCCTCCTGTAGTTGGGACTACAGGTGTATGCCACAATGCCTGGCTAATTTTTACATTTTTTGTAGAGATGGGGTCTCCCTATGTCGCTTAGGCTGGTCTAGAACTACTGGGCTCAAGCGGTCCTCCCACCTCAGCCTCTCAAAGTGCTGGGATTACGGGTGTGAGCCACTGTACCCTGTGGACTTTATTTTTAGAGCAGTTTTCTAAAAAAATTGCACAGAATGTGGTTCTCATATACCTTCTTTGTCCCTGCATCCAGTTTCTGTTATTAATAACATCTTGCAATCATGTGGTACATTTGTTTGTTTGTTTGTTTGTTGAGATAGAGTCTCATTCTGTCGCCCTGGCTGGAGTGCAGTGGCATGATCTTGGCTCACTGCAACCTCTGCCTCCCGGGTCCAAGTGATTCTCCTGCCTCAGCCTCCCAAGTAGCTGGGATTACAGGCACCCACCACCACGCCCGGGTAGTTTTTGTATTTTTTTTTAGTAGAGACGTGGTTTCACCGTGTTGGCCAGGCTGGTCTCAAACTCCTGACTTCAAGTGATCCGCCTGCCTCGGCCTTCCAAAGCGCTGGGATTGTAGGCGTGAGCCACGGTGCCGGGGCTCTCACGGTACATTTGTTGCTTGACAAACCAATAATGATGTATTCTTATTGCGAACTGAAGTCATAGCGTAAGTTATAGTTCACTGTGCAGTTCATTCTATGGGTTTGGACAAATGCATGCCATGTCTCACCATTACGTGTTACACAGAATATTTTTACCGCTCTGAATCTTCTCTGTGCTCCTTCCGTGTTCATTCTCCCCCTCCCCCGGATTTGTGTCTTTTTTTTTTTTTTTTTTTTTTTTTTTT